CTGGCGGTTCAAACCCACCAGCCACTCCTCGGAAGGAAGGTTGGGCAATCCTACTTCTGTAGTGATACTGCCTCGGAAACCCAAGGAGGGGTCGCTACAAGTCGGGGCCGACTCGACGGCACATAACAACAACAACAGTAGGATAAACCGACAGACAGGTCTGTCTCCCTTAGTTGTTTGAAACCTCTCCAACCTCCCCTTACCTGGATCACTACTGCTACCTCCTCACTCTGTCCTGGTCCCTCTGGCCTTTTTTGTCTTTTCCCATACTACCCACCTTGCCACTTGTGGGGCATGGCTTGGATTCCCTCCCCTCACCTGGATCCCTGAGGGGCTGACTCCTCACCCTGTCCTGGTCCCTCTGGCCTTTTTCTCTACTTTCTCCCACTTTCCCGCCTTGGTGTGGGGCATGGCCTGGGTTCCCTCCCCTCACCTTGATCCCTGTGGCTGACTCCTCCAAGTTTCATTTGGTGGTGCCTAAACCTTGATTTTCTTCTGTACCAATGGGAGTCTCTTACCTCTGAAGGATAAAAGGACTTGCTTTCACATTTGAAGTATCTGCTTAAAACAGTGACTATTTTCCCACATAGTTTTCAAAGCTCTCTCACCCCCATTATCTTATCTTACAAGATCCCTACCGAGGGACTTTTGGTAAGATGGAGGAATAGGCAGACAAGCGACACAGACCCTCTCCAACAAAGAAAAGAAAAACCAATTGACAGAGATATAGAAGATAATCCTGGAACCCTGAGCTTTGAAAGGAACTATACTGAAGTGGGTTAGGCACCAACTAGTGGAAAAACCTGAAGGAAAACAGTGAGTATGGAGACGATCAGAGCTGCAGACTGTCAAATACTCTGACGAGACCAACAGCCTGAATATTTCCAGGTGGTGTTGGGACCTGAGAACTGACCTAAAGATCAGTCCTGGTCACCAAGGGCTGCAGGGACAACTGCTGTGGTGGCCTATGACTAGGAAGGGAAACAGTGAGGGAGACAACCTGAGCTGTGGACTTTCTGCTGTCCGAAGGGCACAGCCATTTTGATTGTTTACATGTGGCAGCCATTTAAAGTGACCGAAGTGCAGCCATTTTGAATGGTTACAAGTGGCAGCCATTGTGGATATTTAAAGTGACCAAGGTGGCAGCCATTTTGAATGTTTACAAGCAGCGGCCATTTTAGATATTTAAAGTGACCGAGGGTGCAGCCATTTTGAATGTTTACAAGCAGCAGCCATTTTAGATATTTAAAGTGACCGAGGGTGCAGCCATTTTGAATGTTTACAAGTGGTGGCCATTTTGGATATTTAAAGTGACTGAGGGTGCAACCATTTTGGATTTTAAAGTGATAGCATTCTCATTCGGATTCCAGGGACCTAAGAACAGGCTCTGTTTGCCAGGGTCAGCAAGGAAATACAAGAGGCTGACAAAGGAAAGGAGACAGGTGGTGACTGTATAAGTGCTGTCAACTAGTGAATAGAGGAGCACAGCACAGTACCCTGCCTGTATAAATAACATACAAAGAAAACAAAAATTGTGGGCAAATCACACCAACATATAATCACCAATTAAACAGAAACACAAAAACATCACAATGCCTCAGAGAAAACAGAGCACCACAGTCCACACAAAGAAGCAAGATAAAGCAGGAGAAACAAGGGACCAGGATACAGACCCAAAAACACATCCCTAAGGAAGACACAGCATTGGAACTCCTTGATGATGAATTCAAAAGAATTATATTTAGGTATCTTCAAAGGATTGAGAGACAGACCAAGGAAAACTCAAGACAAAACCCTAGAAGAATTTTGGAAGAAAATACAAGAACAAAATGACAAAATAAATGAAAATTTAGAAATGATTCTAAATCTACAGACAGAAATCCAGAAGATTGATACTAAATTGTCAGAAATAGATAACACATTGAAAGGGCAAAGAAGTAGAATGGATGCAATAGAAGACAGAATTAATGAGATCG